TTTTCGATTCTGGCCGTATCGACTCTGTGTTACGAGTCGGGGCCATTCTCACGCGAAGAAGAAGACGAAGAAGTTAATTACCTTATTTCATTATGCGGTCCGCTCAGTTTCAGCCTTTGGGATTATATTTTGGAAGAAGAAGAAGAGAGACTGCGTTGAATATATATATATATATATATATATACTCTGAAATAAACACAAATCAAACAATAAAATACACTACAAATACACTACAAATATACTACAAATCTTACTTCAGAAAAGTTTTGCAACCTCTCATCACAGTGAATACTGAATTATACCCTGCTCTCAATCATTGTTACATTTTTTTACACGTACTACATATTACGAATGTACAATTGAAAATATTACATTTTTATATTAATTTTTATATTAAAATATTTTTGTTTGTAGGTGATTCAGGATATTCCTTAAGACCATGGATGATGACTCCTATAATAGATGCACCAGAAAATAGCCCAGAAGCAGCGTATAATAAGAAGCAAATAAAAGTCCGCTCGTTAATAGAGCAATGTAATGGCCTGCTAAAAATACGTTTTAGATGCTTATTAAAGCATAGGGTATTGCATTATTCTCCACCAACAGCATCAAAAATTATATATAGGTACGTGTGCTGTATTGCATAATATATGTATCAGCAAAAATGTGCCAATGCCATTAGATTTAAATGACGATATTGAAGAATTTGATTTTGGAATTAATGTTTATACAAATAACTATGAAGAAAATAATGTGTCTGAAATGAATATTCGTAGAATCAATCCAGATTTAGCAGCTGGTAGATTAAAACAGCGACAGATAATAAGAAATTATTTTTCTTAAATGATAATAAAAATTAGTTAAACTATTATGTTTCAATTATATATTTATACGTATATTTTAATATATTTTTGTCATGTGTATATACACACATATATAATTTTGTACTAATGTATTTAATAATAACATATTCAATTCACTCAGGCTCGATTGTGCCAATATTATTTTCTGTCTTTCTTTCTCCCTCGACCTAAAAAAAAAAGAAAAAGTTCTAAGTCTCGCTGAAAGCCTAAATAACATTGATGCAATTGCGCCTCAATATTTTATATAAATGCGAATAATTTCATTTTGTGTTTTAATTACAATAATTGAGGGCTATGATAAAAATAAACATTTAAAAATTCTTGGTTTCAAACATTTATTTTCATACTGATATACATTAAAATTTAACATGCGATAAATTTTCGGATTGTTTATATATTATTCCAAATAACATATTTTCGAATCTCAACATATGAACAAAACAAATAACATTTAGTACGTAAAAAATACTTATTTTCAATATGTATCCATATAATCATATTAAAAGAAATATTAGGTAAGTGTATATAATACATCTTACATTTTCTATTCCAGTAATGAATATAGTTTTTCCGAAGTACTAATCATCAATCTTATTATATTTTATATTCATGTTAATGTGCTATACGACAGTCTATCACATTCTTATAAATTAACTAATCATCAGTCTTATTACATTCACTTAAGACATAATTTCACAACTCATGGTTAACTCTTGACGGAGTTCAACTTATTCCTCATCTTTTTTAAATTCTACAATTACAAAGAGACGAGGAATAAGTTGAACTTCGGTTAAGAGTTAAATGTAAGTTGTAAAACTGGGCCTTAGTGCGCTACATCACAGTCTGTCATATTTTTACAAATTGTTGAATTATAGATATTAAGAATATATAAATGTTTTAATACATATTTAACTGAATTAAACATTAAATAACAGACATTTCAGTCATACAAACAAAATAAAAGTATTCGTAAATTATAAATTTTGTTTATTATACAATATAAGTAATAATAAATCAAGGCTCGATGAGTTGAATCAAAATAATAGGTTATGCTTTTCTGAGCCGATTACTGGATGTAGGTGCGAAGTGTAATTTTTTCATGAATTTAAAACAAATGTTTTTGAAATAAACAAAGAATTTTGATATGCTAACTAAGCTTGAACATTACAAGTCATTTATGATACATGACTTGTAACGTTCGAGCAGTTAGCATATCAAAAATCTTATTCTTTAAAGGAGATTATACTAATAAGCGTAAGGACTTTGTTGGAATCAAATTATTTAATTGTACATTGAAAAGCATCCGAAGTGTGAATCAAAACGTTCGTTTTAAGTTCATGAATAAATTACATTTCAGTGTTTACACTTGAGTATTTACTCAACTGTTGAGTCTACTGAATTTAGCCATTTTCCAAAAAATTTGTCAATTTTTCAACAGCTTTCACAAATCTTTCTTGGTATTTTAATTGATTTTCATAATAACTTTTCTTTAATTCGTACGTTTTCTCATAAATGTTATTAAGATTGGTTGATATTTCAATTGTTTGCTTGATTTACTTTTTCCTTTTTCGTCAGATGGTATTTGGTTTTGCTCATTACTTTTTACATTTTGTACAGAATCTACATTACTTTGTAAAATTTTACCTTCAATGGATTTATCAAATTTGGCGGTACGTTGTTGATTATCTTTTACAATGTTATACTTCTTTGATGTTCTATCAATATTTTCTTTTTCATTTACTACTTTTTATAAATCATTGTATTCCTTGGCTACATTACTTTTTCTTTTTTGAGGTGCTACAATGTTGTATTCATTACTATCTCTATCAGAAACCTGTAATAGAACATTTTCTTCATCTTCATCTAAAAATTCAACTTCCATTGTTTCTTCCTGTAAAGCAAATAAATGTTTCTTATTACAATTATACAGAATATTTCATAACTGGTGATACAATAGGAAAGGGGTTGATAGGAAAGGGATGTATAATACTGGAAAGGGGTTTATAATACTTTTTATTATCTTACATCTGAATCCTGTAATAAATTTACAGTAGGTTCTTCTATTTCGGGATGTCCACCAATGCTAGTTGGACACATTAAATCCAAAACTTCTTCTTCCTGTGTTGTTAATAATTCAGGATTCATTGTACCACCACCCGTTTTTGCCATAGACTGTTTTATGGTTGAATGTTTCTTCTTGCTGCGTGATTGAAAATCATGCCAACACTGAAATTTTTTTAAATCACAACATTACATTTAAAGTTAAATTTACTTATATTAAATTTACACATTAAAATTAAATTTACTTATATATACATATAAGGAGACGAATTTAATCTCCTTCAGATAATATATCTACATTGAAAATATCACTATCCATTATTAAGTCTCATGTGTACAATATTCTTTGTTCATCACATCATAAGCTGCATTATATAAAAACTAACTCATTTCATCAGGATCTAATTTTCCATAATAATTAATGCAAGGTTTTCATGCATTAAAACATATATATATATATATATA